TTAGTCTATTATGTATTTACTTAGTCTATTATGTATTTACTTACTTAGTCTATTATGTATTTACTTAGTCTATTATGTATTTACTTACTTAGTCTATTATGTACTTACTTAGTCTATTATGTATTTACTTAGTCTATTATGTATTTACTTAGTCTATTATGTATTTACTTAGTCTATTATGTATTACTTAGTCTATTATGTACTTACTTAGTCTATTATGTACTTACTTAGTCTATTATGTATTTACTTAGTCTATTATGTATTTACTTAGTCTATTATGTACTTACTTAGTCTATTATGTACTTACTTAGTCTATTATGTATTTACTTAGTCTATTATGTACTTACTTAGTCTATTATGTATTTACTTAGTCTATTATGTATTTACTTAGTCTATTATGTATTTACTTAGTCTATTATGTATTTACTTAGTCTGTTATGTACTTACTTAGTCTGTTATGTATTTACTTAGTCTATTATGTACTTACTTAGTCTATTATGTACTTACTTAGTCTATTATGTACTTACTTAGTCTATTATGTATTTACTTAGTCTATTATGTACTTACTTAGTCTATTATGTATTTACTTAGTCTATTATGTACTTACTTAGTCTGTTATGTATTTACTTAGTCTATTATGTACTTACTTAGTCTATTATGTATTTATTTAGTCTATTATGTATTTACTTAGTCTATTATGTATTTACTTAGTCTATTATGTATTTATTTAGTCTATTATGTATTTACTTAGTCTATTATGTATTTACTTAGTCTATTATGTATTTATTTAGTCTATTATGTATTTATTTAGTCTATTATGTATTTATTTAGTCTATTATGTATTTATTTAGTCTATTATGTATTTACTTAGTCTATTATGTATTTATTTAGTCTATTATGTATTTACTTAGTCTATTATGTATTTACTTAGTCTATTATGTATTTACTTAGTCTATTATGTACTTACTTACTTAGTCTATTATGTATTTATTTAGTCTATTATGTATTTACTTAGTCTATTATGTATTTACTTAGTCTATTATGTATTTACTTAGTCTATTATGTATTTACTTACTTAGTCTATTATGTATTTACTTAGTCTATTATGTATTTACTTACTTAGTCTATTATGTACTTACTTAGTCTATTATGTATTTACTTAGTCTATTATGTATTTACTTAGTCTATTATGTATTTACTTACTTAGTCTATTATGTACTTACTTAGTCTATTATGTACTTACTTAGTCTATTATGTACTTACTTACTTAGTCTATTATGTATTTACTTAGTCTATTATGTATTTACTTACTTAGTCTATTATGTACTTACTTAGTCTATTATGTACTTACTTAGTCTATTATGTATTTACTTAGTCTATTATGTACTTACTTAGTCTATTATGTACTTACTTAGTCTATTATGTATTTACTTAGTCTATTATGTACTTACTTAGTCTATTATGTACTTACTTAGTCTATTATGTATTTACTTAGTCTATTATGTATTTACTTAGTCTATTATGTATTTACTTACTTAGTCTATTATGTACTTACTTAGTCTATTATGTACTTACTTAGTCTATTATGTACTTACTTACTTAGTCTATTATGTATTTACTTAGTCTATTATGTATTTACTTACTTAGTCTATTATGTACTTACTTAGTCTATTATGTACTTACTTAGTCTATTATGTATTTACTTAGTCTATTATGTATTTACTTAGTCTATTATGTACTTACTTAGTCTATTATGTATTTACTTAGTCTATTATGTATTTACTTAGTCTATTATGTATTTACTTAGTCTATTATGTATTTACTTAGTCTATTATGTACTTACTTAGTCTATTATGTATTTACTTAGTCTATTATGTATTTACTTAGTCTATTATGTACTTACTTAGTCTGTTATGTATTTACTTAGTCTATTATGTACTTACTTAGTCTATTATGTACTTACTTAGTCTATTATGTACTTACTTAGTCTATTATGTATTTACTTAGTCTATTATGTACTTAGTCTATTATGTACTTACTTAGTCTATTATGTACTTACTTAGTCTGTTATGTATTTACTTAGTCTATTATGTACTTACTTAGTCTATTATGTACTTACTTAGTCTATTATGTATTTATTTAGTCTATTATGTATTTACTTAGTCTATTATGTATTTATTTAGTCTATTATGTATTTACTTAGTCTATTATGTATTTACTTAGTCTATTATGTATTTACTTAGTCTATTATGTATTTATTTAGTCTATTATGTATTTATTTAGTCTATTATGTATTTATTTAGTCTATTATGTATTTACTTAGTCTATTATGTATTTACTTAGTCTATTATGTACTTACTTAGTCTATTATGTATTTATTTAGTCTATTATGTATTTATTTAGTCTATTATGTATTTATTTAGTCTATTATGTATTTACTTAGTCTATTATGTATTTATTTAGTCTATTATGTATTTACTTAGTCTATTATGTATTTACTTAGTCTATTATGTACTTACTTACTTAGTCTATTATGTATTTATTTAGTCTATTATGTATTTACTTAGTCTATTATGTATTTACTTAGTCTATTATGTATTTACTTAGTCTATTATGTACTTACTTACTTAGTCTATTATGTATTTATTTAGTCTATTATGTATTTACTTAGTCTATTATGTATTTACTTAGTCTATTATGTACTTACTTACTTAGTCTATTATGTATTTATTTAGTCTATTATGTATTTATTTAGTCTATTATGTATTTACTTAGTCTATTATGTATTTACTTAGTCTATTATGTATTTATTTAGTCTATTATGTATTTACTTAGTCTATTATGTATTTACTTACTTAGTCTATTATGTATTTATTTAGTCTATTATGTATTTACTTAGTCTATTATGTATTTATTTAGTCTATTATGTATTTACTTAGTCTATTATGTATTTACTTAGTCTATCGTGTATTTACTTAGTCTATTATGTACTTACTTACTTAGTCTATTATGTATTTACTTAGTCTATTATGTATTTACTTAGTCTATTATGTATTTACTTAGTCTATTGTGTATTTACTTAGTCTATTATGTACTTACTTACTTAGTCTATTATGTATTTATTTAGTCTATTATGTATTTACTTAGTCTATTATGTACTTACTTACTTAGTCTATTATGTATTTATTTAGTCTATTATGTATTTATTTAGTCTATTATGTATTTACTTAGTCTATTATGTACTTACTTACTTAGTCTATTATGTATTTATTTAGTCTATTATGTATTATTTAGTCTATTATGTATTTATTTAGTTATTATGTATTTACTTAGTCTATTATGTATTTACTTAGTCTGTTATGTATTTATTTAGTCTATTATGTATTTACTTAGTCTGTTATGTATTTATTTAGTCTATTATGTATTTATTTAGTCTATTATGTATTTATTTAGTCTATTATGTATTTACTTAGTCTATTATGTATTTACTTAGTCTATTATGTATTTACTTAGTCTGTTATGTATTTATTTAGTCTATTATGTATTTACTTAGTCTATTATGTATTTACTTAGTCTATTATGTATTTACTTAGTCTATTATGTATTTACTTAGTCTATCATGTATTTATTTAGTCTATTATGTATTTACTTAGTCTATTATGTATTTACTTAGTCTGTTATGTATTTATTTAGTCTATTATGTATTTACTTAGTTATTATGTATTTACTTAGTTATTATGTATTTACTTAGTCTATTATGTATTTACTTAGTCTATTATGTATTTATTTAGTTATTATGTATTTATTTAGTCTATTATGTATTTATTTAGTTATTATGTATTTATTTAGTCTATTATGTATTTATTTAGTTATTATGTACTTACTTAGTCTGTTATGTATTTATTTAGTCTATTATGTATTTATTTAGTTATTATGTATTTATTTAGTTATTATGTATTTATTTAGTCTATTATGTATTTATTTAGTTATTATGTATTTATTTAGTCTATTATGTATTTATTTAGTCTGTTATGTATTTATTTAGTCTATTATGTATTTATTTAGTTATTATGTACTTACTTAGTCTGTTATGTATTTATTTAGTCTATTATGTATTTATTTAGTTATTATGTATTTATTTAGTTATTATGTATTTATTTAGTCTATTATGTATTTATTTAGTTATTATGTATTTATTTAGTTATTATGTATTTATTTAGTCTATTATGTATTTATTTAGTTATTATGTATTTACTTAGTCTATTATGTATTTACTTAGTCTATTATGTATTTATTTAGTTATTATGTATTTATTTAGTCTATTATGTATTTATTTAGTTATTATGTATTTATTTAGTCTATTATGTATTTATTTAGTTATTATGTACTTACTTAGTCTGTTATGTATTTATTTAGTCTATTATGTATTTATTTAGTTATTATGTATTTATTTAGTTATTATGTATTTATTTAGTCTATTATGTATTTATTTAGTTATTATGTATTTATTTAGTCTATTATGTATTTATTTAGTCTGTTATGTATTTATTTAGTCTATTATGTATTTATTTAGTTATTATGTACTTACTTAGTCTGTTATGTATTTATTTAGTCTATTATGTATTTACTTAGTCTATTATGTATTTACTTAGTCTATTATGTATTTATTTAGTCTGTTATGTATTTACTTAGTCTATTATGTATTTATTTAGTCTGTTATGTATTTATTTAGTCTATTATGTATTTATTTAGTTATTATGTATTTATTTAGTTATTATGTATTTACTTAGTCTATTATGTATTTATTTAGTCTGTTATGTATTTATTTAGTCATTCTCTGCACTTGTCTTCTTCAGTGATATAAAAACGCAGCTCTCAGTGTTTTAAAGTTTTGAGGACTTATGATGCTCAGATATCTGATGTCTTCTTCAGGTGCTGTCTGTCTCTATTACCTGATAAACTGGAACAAACACTTTCTGTCAGCCACATTCCTGTCCTACCGTCGACGCTCATGACGCAATCAACCCGGAAGTCGTGTGTTAGCTGTCAAAGCCAGCGGCAGAAAGAAAGCACTGAAAGCTAAAAATCCCGCATTTAAGACGAGATGGCAGGACTGCCCCGCAGGATCACAAAGGTATTTATTTTACCACTTTAATCAGCTGTATGTCTGAATGATCTGCCTTTGCTGAAGCCTCGCGCACACGATCTAAACTCCTCATGACGCTCCGTAACTCCGCTACAGCTAGCATTAGCATCCAGCTAACTCACGGTATCTGATTAAATCACTTCCGTTTCTGTGCTCAGATAAACCGAGGCTCCGGGTGGTAATGTTACCTCATGTGACCCATACATGAACCACCTGCCGAGATTACACCTTTCTACATGTAGCTTCATGCAGAATAATGTTTTAAAATCGCGACTGATGCGGGTTTCTGTGATGACTGAATGGTTAGCTCACCAGGCTAACTATGCTAACACCGCTAGCCTGTTAGCCTGTTAGCCTGTTAGCATGACATCCGGATTAAACCTTTAATTTATGCACAACATAAAACTTTATATAAATATATAAATAAGATTTGTTCCGGTGCAGCCTTTTTATTTAACATCATTATCAAGTTAAATTCTTTATGAAACGTTTTCACGGTGAATTAGTCTTAAATGTAATAACATCTTTTAATGTACCGCAGGTTAAAGGTTAAAGGTTAAAGGTGACACTTTGACCTTAAATAATCACAATAGTTTGTTGACCTGTTGGTTTGGTGGTTACATCTCTTTCTAAGTTAGTGTGAACATTTTATTAAACTGATCTGTTCTGGTGTGAAGCTGTGAGGGAGGGGAGGGCAACTGGCGGCCCGGGGGCCACATGCGGCCCCCATCAACCCTCAACGTGGCCCTCACGTCAGTTTTTACACATCAATTCATTAGAAACATGAAGAAATCTGCCATGAAATCATGAAAACCTGAAACATGTCCATGATAATATTTGATCCCTGGTATGTGTTGAGTGTAATCGTTTTTGTATTCTACAATTTGGCCCCCTGGCAGTGAGAAGTAAATGTGGCCCCTTGCTGTGACTACAGCTGATCATCCCATCATGTATGTTCTCAGGTCATGACAGAAGTCATACCTTACTTTAATATCATCATCATCATCATCATCATCATCATCAAAGTGCAACTCAGACTACAACTCACAGCTTCTTCTTCTTCTTGTCATATTTTCAATTCAAAAAACTTTATTTGTCCCCGGGGACACAGAGCAGTAAATTAACAACAGAGCAGGTCGATGAAACATTTTAACCCAAATAGAAAGTGTCAATTTAAATACAACTTAAAGCTTAAACTTCACTTAAAATACAAAATATAGAAGTATAGATATAAGTGGACAGTGATCAGACTAACAGATGTAAACAGATGTAACCAGAACTATGTGCAGTAAACGAGAAATAAATATATATATATACAGAACTATGTGCAGTAATGAGAAATAAATATATATATACAGAACTATGTGCAGTAATGAGAAATAAATATAAAAATATATACAGAACTATGTGCAAGTAGGCAAATACTAAACGATAAGTTATTAAGGTGAATAATGGAACAACAGAACTAATATAAACAATATAACTGTAAGGTAAGAATGAGATAAATAAAGTGACTGTAGTGATGGATAAGAAACAACAGGAATAAAGTCAAATATAAAAATATATAAAGTGGATAGAATAAAGTGATGTAGTGCGTGAGACCAGATAAAGCAGAGGCAGTTCAGGTGTTTGGCAAATAGAAGGAAGTAAAAACAGCAAAGTTTATACCATTTGTGATTGGAAGTTCTGTGTTATAAGTTCATTATTATATTACATTATTAACTTAAACTTTAAGTTTCTTTAAGGATGAACTGCAGATGCCTAACTTTATTGTTGATAGAGAAGAATAAACTAACTTTTACCCTTTTCCTTTGTGGAACTTTAACAGTGTCTTCATAATAATCGTATCTACATGTAAGAGTCAACTTGTGTTATGTGTGAACATTCATCATATTTAATCGATGTGCAACTTATGGTTTGTAGTAGGGCTGGGTGATATGGACCAAAACTCATATCTCCATATTGTTTAGCTGAATGGTGATACTCGACATATATCAATACGTATTTTATTAACAGTGAAAACACATGGAAAAATAAACGACCTGTTTGTGAATTTAAAAAGTAATATTATAAAATAAAAATGTTCTTTAAATCCAATAAAAGAGAGAGAGAGGAGGAGCAGACAGTCAGTCATCATCAGTGAGATGAGAAGAAGGTCACCTGGCACCTCTGTAACGTTATGTTAATGCAACATAAACTAAATCCATATTAACCATGTTGTCTTACCCTAGATCTTGTTTGAAAATATATCGATATATCTTAAAAACTCCATATATTTCCTAGCCCTAGTTTGTAGCATTAACACTTAGCCTGTCTTGAGCTAATATGGATTTGTTTTTTATGCTGGTCACACCGCTGATACGTGACTAAGTAAGGAGGTTTCAGGGTAATTTATCATAACACACAATCTGCATGGGAGAGAGGAAATAGTAATTGATAAGCGCATAACAGGAACACTTATTTTCTCAGAGAAGGTTGTACAGGTGGTGAAACAGCAGACCAGCATTGTGGGAAAAGATGGGTAAAATGGCAAGAGTACTTAGCGGTCCGAGCCCTTGAGCCCTCAGAGCGTGTGAATGGGACCCGGAGCCCCCTGTCCCTGTCTGTGTTTTCACTGCATGGTTTTGTCTATGGGTTATCTGAAACATTTCAGGAATCCCACTCCCAGTCACGTTCAGGAAAGGAACGTCCAAAAACAAGGGTGCTACTGGCTCTGCAAAGATTAATTCAACGCTACTATTTCACATATGGTTTCTGCCATGTGTTTTTGAGACAGGTGTGTTATGTTTCTGCTGCAAAAAAAGGATGGACTTGGGTTTTTAGACGCCGGAAAATTACAAGTGCTGCATATGAGAGACTCATTGTTTTATCAGAGCTAAATTAAGGAATGAATTCAATGGCAGTAAAAAAATACAGTACTTTTGCATAAGTTCCTCTCAAGTGTGTCATTCATGACTCATGCAAACCACAAGAGGTGTCACCTGCTGTCCTGTCATAGTTAAGGTGTGTGCTTATGTAGGTCATTTGAGATGGGAGAAATGTTGCTACAGTGGCCGAGGGCAGTGAAAGCAACGCTGGTCTCCTGAGTTTCTGTGGCTGAGTCAGAGCGTCAACCTCTAAAAAAATATCTCACCACCAGTTCTGAACAAAGAGTCTTCAAAATCCCAGCACTGAGCCAGTTGTTGAAGGGCACAGTCCAAGTCTTGAAACCCATTATGTTTTTAAAGACTTATCAAGTCAATACAAAGCAGTTTGAGTGTGAACATCTGCATCTCTTCAGAGCGTTTAGGGGACACAGGGTGCTTGTTATGAGGACTGTTAAGCAAGCTGTCTCTAAGATCTTTAGAATTTACTTCCTGTTAACAATAACAACTCATCATTGGATGATAACAGAAATGTAGGTTCACTGTTTGGACTCCTTAGTTTAACTTTTCTTTTCTCTTTTACTGAAGACATCCTCCTTTTTCTCCAGCTAAATAAAGGTTTGCATCAGGAAGTGGGCGTGTACTTCAGTCATGCAAGAATAAAAAATGCCGACTAACAGGCTGTTTGTGCTGTGTGATCGAATACTTGATCTACCTGTGTGGAGTAAACATTCCCAAAGGTGAATCATCATGTAAAAGTGCAAGGAACAGGTGTAGATGACTATAAACCACAACTTCATTTGTAGCTGTCATGATTTATTACAAAGCGTCCCGCTGTCTTGTACGGTGGCCCTGCAAGCTCAATGCAAGTCATCTAAAGCGTCCTCATTATAAATGCTTCAACATCTGGGGCGGACATATTGCCATGCTTGTGTGACTCATGATGTCTTGATGGTGTTGCATCCTTTTATGTTGTGAATTCCTTTTCATGATAATTCAATTGCCATTATAAGACCAGACATCAGGCTAAAGTGCTACACAAGGCCAGTCGTTTAATGATGATGTCATAACCTCAGGATTGATGCATGTCATATCAAATCATTTATACTGTTCATAGTGCATCACAGGAAGTAAAAAAACATTCAGAACTTATTGTTTATGTTTTTTAAGCCCTTAAAAAGAACATTGAAACTGAAGAAACTTTGAGTTGTTCAGCTCTGTTGTTTCTTCAGTTTCTGTGTACGTACTTACAGAGAGAACAGTCAAATTCTCTGCCAATGAATTTAATTCTCCTTTTTGCCAAGAATGAAATGAATGAAGGATGTTATACGGATATTATTTGTAGTTACTTTGAGTCACATCCCCGGGCAACAAGAAGGTTGTTAAAGCTATGTTTGCACTTTCTGTGTCCTTTGGGAACCTTTTGCTGTGTGTGCACAATGCAGTGCTGTAGTTACATTGATTAGATCATCATTTGCATTTGTTCTGTTACGCTGCACTGCACTGAGGTCTGGAGGCTTCAGTTTCTGCACTCACTGAATAACAGGAGTTAAGACTTCTGCACAGACAAAAAACTTGTGTTGATGCTCTTGTCATGTCAAACTAAACAGCTGTGATGGAAAAGTATGCACTGCAGGATAGTAGATTGTTTTCTTGTGAGGTTTGCTGTTTGCTGCATCCCATTTTAAAAGTCAAACTTAGTTTCTTCCCTTTTTTTCAGCCTGTGCAGTAGTTTCTTTCTGCATCTTTTACTTAGAGTTTATTAGCATTCTCAGACTCGTGGGAAAGTGAGTTCTGTATTGCCCATTCAAACACGCTTTGTGGTTAAGGAAGTTAACATGAAAAATGAAACGTCTTTATGTTTCGTCTCTGTAACAGGAAACTCAGCGTTTGCTGCAGGAGCCCGTCCCAGGCATCAAGGCAGAGCCAGATGAAAGCAACGCTCGCTACTTTCATGTGGTCATCGCCGGACCACAGGACTCACCTTTTGAGGGGGGCACGTTTAAACTTGAACTCTTTCTACCAGAGGAATATCCAATGGCAGCTCCTAAAGTACGCTTCATGACCAAAATATATCATCCCAATGTAGACAAGTTGGGAAGAATATGTCTAGACATTTTGAAAGGTAAGTCTAGCGGCCATCAGAGTTAACAGCACTTTGTTTCTCCCACTATCTCTGCCATGTTTAGTCAGGCTTGTTACTGCAGGTGTAGGAAATCCTGCATGTGTTGTGTCATGTGTTGTCTGTCTGGCAGTGAAGTGAGGCACTCGTCCATTTTATTTTGCTAAAAAGATCAATGGCCTCTTATGTTTCATTTGTGAACCCTTGACTAGAGCTTTGTGCCACTACTTCCTCACATCTCCACTCTACCACAGCAGCTTAGAATAGACACATCCCTGCTGTTTATCAAGTATCATCTCCTCTTCTCTTTAGTATTCTAAAATTCTGTTTTAGTCTCATTAATCCTTTTTTTCTTTTCTCATCTTTTCAGATAAATGGTCGCCAGCTCTGCAGATTCGCACAGTGCTGCTGTCGATCCAGGCATTACTAAGTGCACCCAACCCAGATGATCCTCTAGCAAATGATGTGGCGGAGCAATGGAAGTCTGATGAAGTCCAAGCCATAGAAACAGGTGAGATCTAGAAACACAAGTTTGTTTTTATGTAAAGTCATTTGACCCTTTTGTTACGTCTACAAGATCATGGTTTGTGTGTGCTGGTTAACCAACATCTTATCAGCTTATATTTGCCTTTCGAGGATTGATGAAAAAAAACAAAGATGCATCTATTGTTCCCCATTCACTGTTAGTTAACTGTATTTAGGATGTCAGATCTATGATCCAATGAAATCATTTTGGTTTGATAAAAGATGAGAAATAATGATGGAGATTTTTGGAGTAAAAACAAACGTGACCTGCAAACAACTTCTGAATTTGTTAATTTATTAAATGCTGTTTCCTGACAAACCATATCTAATGCAAGCTCAGACGGTCAGGACGATGTCGGTGCAGAAAGGCGTCAACAAATCAACATCTTGTAAATTTCTCCCTTAAGTTGCATAAATTCAAATCGGTGAAATCACGCCTTTGCATCGACTTTGAAAGTATTGGGGCCGTGCTGAAACTTGCTCTGCTATAAGTTTGAACCCTCCTTCAATCAATCAGTCAAACTTTATTTATACAGCACCTTTCAGACAAACTAAATTGCAGTTCAGAGCTTTACAAGAGTGCAGAAAAATTATTGACGAAAAAGTAGTTTATAAAATCACTGAGAGACTAATGCACACCAATAAGAATTAAAAAAATATGTATAAAAAATAAAATACGACACATAAAAGCAGCAAGATATTAAAATGAATATTTAAAATTGTAGTAGGATAAAAAAGACAAATAATGTTAATGTTGAGTGTCCTTGGCACTTTCATTACCAGCTTCACCCCCTCTGTCCTAGTCTGCTCCATGATGTGTGGTTAAAGAGGTCTTGGCGATAAACAATTCTTACCTCAAGCTCTTGACAAAGTATTGTTTACAGCGTTACTTTTTCTGTGTGTCATGGTCAAATCTTGTCTTTTGTAAACTTTTACAGCCAAGACATGGACCAGGATTTACGCTGGAAGCAAAAATGAAGTGTAAAGCAGCCCCAACAAGTGGAAGATACAAGTGGAAGTAAAGTGGGAACACAACTCCTCATGTTCTGCCAAGACCTCTTCTGACTTCATTTGCATTTAAAGGACACAGTCTTAAATATATAAATACATATGTATTATGAAATAAACATGAATATATTGTAAAGGAAAAAAAACAAAAAACAACTGCTGACAATTGGTGATTTAAATGCACATTAGTAATAAAAATGACTTGTCGTCGTCCTATCTCACTACTGTTGACATGCATGGGCAAAGGTTAGATCTTCTCCGCTGGCTTTCTTTGTCCATTGATTTTCTGTAGGCTTGTGCCGACTGCTACTTTCACAAGCACGTTCGGGGGGGGGGGGTGTATGGGGAATGTGTCCTAAGCCACACATAACTGGTGGAAATGTGAGTTTTGAAGCAGTGGAAGGGGGAGGGGGCATTGGCTACATGTGGCCCATATTGTAAATTAAAACACCTTTTTTTTAACTTTGTTTTCTTGTGTTTTGCTGTTTGCTTATTAAAGTAGCTAACTACAGAGCCCACTGTACGTATAGACACTTAACCAATGGCGGACCATTATTTTTCTTCTGTGTGTATGGCCGAGAGTGATGCAGACAAACAATGTTAAGCCTACTTCAAATTAAATCACATAAATCACATCTGGCTGCAAAAGATACAAATGATATGACTAAAAACCAAACTGAGCCTGCCACTGTCACATGAATTTTCTTCAACCACTCGGTGTAAACTGTAGGCTTGTGGATGGTGTGGGAGAGTGTTAAGGGGAGGGTGAGCATTGAGGACTTTATTTTTTTTTTTAGTTTTAGCACATGTTTTATCACCATATCCAGTCTTTTATATGTGTATCTTCTGTGCTGTCGCCATACTAACTCCTCTGCTTTCTGGTTTACTTCTTCCCATGGCATTTATTTCACAAGGCAGTGGTGACATTCGAGCTGTCAGTTGTGACGAGGGGATGGTGGATGGTGTGCTGAGGGAACCTATCGCAGTGATAGGAGAAACTGGGTTGTTGGGGTATAAAACCTCCAAATGTTCAATGAAGGCTCGACTCTCACCCGTTTGTGAACGCTCTTTAACTGAAACGTCTGTATTCGCTTCACTGCTGTTAAAGTCATTCATTCTCTCTTATCTGGGGACTCTCTCCTGTTCCCAGAGTGTTATAAAACAGTCCACCTGCTACTTTTTATGTTCTGTAAATAAAAATCTGTTGATTAATAAAGAGCTGCCTGGCTTTATTTTCTTGGGGAACAGTGTGTCACAGGTTGCTGCTGTATGTTTGGTTCATACAGATAGAGAGAGAGCTGGCTGGTCACTGGAATGACTCTGAGGTCAGTTTTGTTAACAGCACTCAAAAGATATGCCCCCCCCCCCCCCCTTCAAAATGTACTGAAACAGATCAAATAAACAAGCTACCACATAAAGTATCCACGCTGAATGGCCCCTTTCTTTTTAATTCCATTTGAAGATCATTATCTTTACTCTTAAAAAATGTCTTTCATTGCTTATCAGTTATAAATGTAGGATATGCATCATAGTTTTCATGCACTTTAATAATGTGGTCAGTTCAATATGCTTTTAAGAACATTTTGGGCAGATGAAAGAGACTCTGTTTCCCTCTCAAAGCTGTCAGTCATTTATCCTGACCATTAGGGTGAATGGGACTGTAGGTACAGATGGTACAGGTAAGCCTCTTGCAGGTTGCTGTTTTCAGTGTGTCGTGAGTATGTGCCTGGAAAAAAACCTTGTGTCAAACAGTTTGTCTTTTTTTTCAGTTTATTTTTATTACATTTGAGATAAGCTGCAAACTGCACAATAATGCATTAAATAAAACTGATCATGGTTCTTCAGGGAAGGGTTGGTGGTGGATCTACGTATATTTTTAATGACATTCTTAATTCATGCCATTAGTGAATAAATAAATTAGAGAAACTCACTGAATAAGAATTAGTCTTCTTCTGGCGCTTGGGTCTGTTTCAGTAGGATTTACCAGTAAATGTGGAAGTTCAAAGAGGCCTTCAGGGTTCTCCCACTGGTTTGGAAAAGTGAAGCCTGCATGACCTCATGTTCCCTCATTTGAGAAATCATCCTTGCTGCTGATAGCAAGGTCAAACCCTCCACTTTTAACAAACCATTTCATCTGTGTGTGAACTGGTGCTGCCACAAATCTGATTCTAAATCATTCACAAAATCATTTTTTATTAATAATTAAAAACAATGCTTTAAAGGGTCTAAAGGCCTAATCTTTTTTTTTTTTTTTAAACATCCTGTGGTTTAATAACGCCCACTTCCACTAGAGGGCAGGCCTGTTCTGCTCATCTCAACATCACAGGTATCTCTATCTTATCTTAGACTAAATAAATAAACTGACATTTTCACAACACTGACATGTTGATGTTCAGAAATCTACTGGAATAAGGGTAAGGAAGAGACTAGTGATCAGAATTCAAATGATAAAGCTCATTTGAAAATGAAAATACATTAACAGAAATAATTTTTAAGTTTCAGAATATGGGTGTATTATTTTGACTATTGGAAATAAAATGATGATTAATTTATCTAATTTGCATTTTAGTTTTCAACTTCAAAAATGCACATTCTTTGACAAAATTAAAATGAAGAAGAAAATGACATTTGCTTTTTCATTTTCAAAAAATGCCCCTCTAAATGTATGAGTCAGAATTCAAATGAAATTGCAAAAACTGTCTTTATCTACCAAAGGGGGACCCGCAGAAAAGTTGGGAACCAGTGCTTTAATGGTTTGCCATCCACGCCTCCTAAGGTCAGTCAGGTGACATAGATGGAAGGCTAAATGATGGCATGATGACAGACACTGAGGTAAAGACCAGGTCGACGATGTGAGTGAGGTCTGAATAACCTACAAAACTTCAGACAGCCTACCACAGTAAGTGCAGTGACAGTGTGCTCACACGTTTTACCTGATGCAGAGAGCCTGCATACATTACATTCAAGAAGAAGAACTTCATTGAAAGACAGACATTGAAATGCTCCAACGACAAATCAGATCAACATATTTTGACTAACCTATAAAAAAAGAGAAGAGTCTCTTCCGGTTGCAGCAGCTGTTGTAACTACGACAACCACAGACGCACACGGCTCCACTCCGTCGGAGCCGCCAGAGAGACTCTCTTCAGTGTTGTGGTGAAAACACGATTTTCACTCTTCCTCACTCCTTACTCTTCTTCACGCTTTCTGGCATTTCGAAGATAAATGATGAAGTTTAAGCCAAACCAGACGAGGACGTACGACGGCGAAGGGTTCAAGAGGAGAGCGGCGTGTTTGTGTTTGAAAAGCGAGAAAGAGGACGAGGTAAGAAGACGTGTCTGCAGCCTGCTCAACTTAAATCATGTTTGCATTAATCTTCATTGAGGAAACAGAGTTTACTATTTTACTTTTAGTGTTGGCAGTCCCCACTTAACCTCTGTGCATGAGCATATAAAACAAAAAGCCCACCCTGTTTTATCAGCATGTAGCAGAGACTGATACGGTGTGTTTACGTGTCTGTGTGTTGTGCTGAGGTGAATATGTGTGGACCAACTAATACCATATGTTACCAATTTAAACTACAAGCTAGATAAATATGTATATATATATATATACAAATAAATTAAAATGTTTTAAAATTACAATGTATAAATAAATATAAAAATATAATATAAATATATATAACTCATAGCCTATTTCATAAAGACGTCGAATCCTCATAGTGTTGTGGCTCTTCAAACTCTGCTGGCTTAGTATTATATGAGTGCATTTTCTAACTGTCACTGTGAGCACTAATCCTTGCAACAATGCCACTAAGCTTCATTTTTTAAAAACAATATGCTTTCATGTTTATGTCTTGTTGCTCAAAATGTTATTTTAGTTTAAAATGCAATGAAGCACTACAAGAGTTTTTAGGTCCTAATTTAATTCCAAATCGAGTCTTTAATTGATTATACGCCATTAAGAAAAATAAGGATTTGAAAATAGTACCAGAACACACTTACACACTCATTAAGAAGTGTTTAGTATACCCTTTCTAATACAATGATGTCCATGAAGGCAGCACGTCTGCCCAGTGACCGAGGCTCTCCTCAGGATCATGTGTGATATGAGGACTGGGGGGTCGTAGGGGCCTGAGTGAGGGTGTGTTACACTGTGTGCTAGTGACCTATCAGCTGCAATTTATAGACACAAGGTGCAGACACTTACTGTCCAACTGACAGATTTTCTTTCTTCATGCTGCCACCCCCCCCTCTCCCCCCTCTCTCTCTCTCTCTGTCTCTCTCTCTGTCTCTCTCTGTCTCTCTCTGTCTCTCTCTGTCTCTCTCTCTCTGTCTCTCTCTCTCTCTCTCTCTCTCTCTGTCTCTCTCTGTCTCTCTCTGTCTCTCTCTCTCTGTCTCTCTCTGTCTCTCTCTCTCTCTCTGTCTCTCTCTGTCTCTCTCTGTCTCTCTCTCTCTGTCTCTCTCTGTCTCTCTCTGTCTCTCTCTCTCTGTCTCTCTCTGTCTCTCTCTGTCTCTCTCTGTCTCTCTCTCTCTGTCTCTCTCTGTCTCTCTCTCTCTCTCTCTCTCTCTCTCTCTCTCTCTCTCTCTCTCTCTCTCTCTCTCTCTCTCTCTCTGTCATACACTTGGAGTAACTTTATTTTCTGAATTGCTCTGAACACGTTGCTGCCATGCTGTGTGCTTCTCACCGTGTGTGTCACCCTTCATGTGGTAAATTATCCATCCAGTCTGCATGCCAGGTTTACAGCCACTTCCTCCACATTCCACTGGAGAGCCACATGAGAGAGGCTGCATACAGATATAAGACAGGATAGATCACACTGCTTGTACTCAGGATAATCATTTAACCAATCCTATTTGATCTTTTTTTTAAAGGGAAAAAAACGTGATCATTATACATTTTTGTTTTGTTTATTCTCCATTATAATTATACTTCCTGTAACTGGTACAACACGTTTTTTCAGTAATCCTAATCAAGAACATTAATGAATATTATTAACATTTTATTGTGACACTCAACAGGTCAGAATAATTAATTTCCACCAAAGAATTCTGTAAAACCTTAAAGTTTAATGTCCTACGAAGATTCTGTAAAAAACATAAAAAGTGTTTTGTTAATCCAATCATACAGAACTGTTTATTCTCTTCACAGTAAATAAAGACTTTTATTTTGTTAAGTTCTGGAGGATATAAGCTTAAGCTTTGACAAACAGAATGATTCT